TGGGAAGAAGTCCTTGAAGTTCCACCTGTTGGGGAAGGCAAGCAGAAGGGCGTGAGGGAGGCTCGCTCGTGGAGGAGGGGGTGGTTGAGTGTGTTGGAGGTGAGGAGGGCGTGGTGGAGGAGGGGGTGGTGAGGAGGTGGTGGTGGTGGTGGGAGGGGGGGTAGAGGTTGGTGGTGGGTAAAGGTGGTGTGGTGGGGGAGGATGTAGTGCGTTGGGGTGGTTGGCAGGGGAGGTGGTTAGTAGGGGGGGTGGAGATGTGTTTATGTTAAGTTTTGTGTTAGTGTGGTTAGTTGATGTTGGTATGCTGGTTGCTGTGTTTATGTTGGTTGCTGTGGTTATGTTGGCGTTTGTGTTTATATACATATATGTATATAAATGTTGGAGTTGCTGTGGTTATGTTATTATTGCTGTGTTTATGTGGTGTGCTGTGTATGTCGGAGTTGTGGTTATGTTGGTGTTACTGTGCTTATGTTGGTGCTGTGTCTATGTTGGAGTTGTTGTGGTGTTGGTGTTACTGTTTATGTTGGTGCTGTGTCTATGTTGGAGTTGTTGTGGTTATGTTTGGTGTTGCTTTTATTGTGCTGTTCCCGTTATGGTTGCTTTGCTGGTGACGTGATTCCTCTGCTGTTATTGTTATTATGTTCTTGTTCTTTTTACGGTGTTGCTGCTGTTAGCGTTGTTGCCTGAGGATCCGTAATTCATATTTCTATTTACAGACGTATTTCTTTTTTTCCTGTTTTATTTCTTCATTTGTGGAGTGAGGCAATATGTTTTTTATATATATATATATATATATATATATATATATATATATATATATATATATATATATATTGTTTTTTTCTCCAATTCATGTTTAACGAATGACAAAGACTTTTTACTCGAAAATAAATGGAATACGAGTTATACATAGTTTATTTGTGATACATATTTCGTTCCATTCTATTTGTTTAGCAACGAGGAAAAACACCTTAAAAAAAAACTTTTTTTCTAATTACTTTATTCGTTTCCTCGTTGCTTCGTCGTGTTTTCTTGATTTATCTATTCTAGTGTACGAATGAATAAATAAACACTTATTCCTTATTCATACAGCATGAATAAAAGATGCATATATACACAAAACAAAAACGCAGCGCCTAGTTGGGACTATAGAAAAAAAAATACAATATACATATTTAATTTAATTTTATTTGCTTGGCATTTATTTATTTGCCTTATTCTCCTCCTTTACTTCCCTTTTCCCTCTTTACTTTGTCATATTTTGCGGATTTATCCACTCTACTGCAAGAATAAATGAAGAAATACCCATTCATTGATCATATATATTAAAAAAAAGAAATAGAAATGTAAAAAAAAAACAAAAAAAACGCTACATCTAAAGTATAAATAAATAAATATTCATTGTTCATATCATATATAAATAAATAAATAAACAAATAAAATGAAAGCATATATAAACGAAACAAAAACGCAGCGCCTGGTTCAGACGCCAGAAAAAATGGCGGTAAACGGACACTCACTTTGAGGAGACGCAAACTTGACACTTCTGTCATGGAGTGAGTAAGCTGAGGCTTATGTGACGTAAGAGAGACGCAAAATACGCGGTTATTTGCACCAAGATGCATGGGAAACGTCGCCTCTATATCCAATATGGCGCAGTGAAATATTGCCCGGTTTCTCGAGATAGATGGCTCTATTTCGGTCTTTTTTTTATATAATTCATATATTTCTTTTTTACGAAATAATTTCTTCTCGTTTCTCTCTCTCACTCCATTTCTCTCTCTTCTTTCTTCTCTATATCTCCTCCCGTTTTTCCTCTCCTTCACCTCCCTCTTCCTTCTTCCTTCTTCCTCTCCCTCACCCTCTTTCTCTCTCTTCCTTCCTCTCCCTCGCCCTCCTCCTTCCTCCCCTTTACTCCTTCCTCTCTCTTCCTTCCTTTCCATCTCATCTTCCTTTCTTCTTCTCCCTCCCTCCTTCTCTCCCTCCGATGCCGCGCAATCCATCTCTCCGACCGTTATAAAGACGATCAAATTTCCCGCGCAAACTGCCGGCACCGATCACCCGGGATTGGTAATTCCTCCATTTACGTATCGGCGAAAACGATTTTCTTTTCTTTTTATGATCTTTCTTTTTTTCTCTCTCTCTCTCATTTCTTTTTATTATTATTGCTATTCAATTTATTGTCAAAACGCCATCTATTCAGCCGCCCTCTCTCTTCTTCTAATTACGTGTAGGTCTATATATTTTTTCCTTTTCTTTTTTCTTAATTAGCAAGGCGCCCATCACTCCTAAACGCTGTTTTCGAAACACATGTTACACGCTTCGAGATATACGGGTGATGCAGACGGCTGGTTCGACAAAAAGAGTGTGAAATGCGCAAGGAATGACAAGGTGAGTGAGTGGGAAGTGTAAAGTTAGCGGAAAAGGCTGAGTGAGTGAATGTCAAAGGTTTATTGAGAGTGGCAAGTGAGTGTGAAGTGTTTGAATGTAGGGTGAGTGAATACTCGCATGCGTCAGAGAATGGCAGAGTGAGCCAGTGTGAAGGGTTTAAGAGTGACAGGTGTGTGTGAAGTGTGAGTGACTGGAAGGATAAGTCAGCGTGAAGTGTGAGTGACTGGAAGGGTAAGGTGAAGTGTGATGTGACTGGAAGGTAAGTCAAAGTGGTGTAAGTGAAGGTGTAAGTGACTGGAAGGGTAAGTCAGTGTGAAGTGTGAGTGACTGGAAGGGTAATTCAGTGTGAAGTGTGAGTGACCTGGAAGGGTAATGTCAGTGTGAATGTGACTGTGACTGTGAAGTGTGTAAAGGTTCAGTGTGAAGTGTGAGGTGACTGGAAGGCGTAAGTCAGTGTGAAGTGTGAGTGACTGGAAGGGTAAGTCAGTGTGAAGTGTGAGTGACTGGAAGGGTAAGTCAGTGTGAAGTGTGAGTGACTGGAAGGGTAAGTCAGTGTGAAGTGTGAGTGAGTGGACTGGAAGGCGTTAAAATCAGTGTGAAGTGTGAACTGTGGGTCATCGGCAACGTGTATTAAAGTGAGTAAAATGTAAGGGTGTGAGAGGTCAGGAGTGAAGTTGAGGCAGGAGAGAGAGGTGTTTTGATAACGTCTTTCGCAGGGAGTTGACAGCCTCATGTTTGGCAAAATGGAAGGAGCGGCTGATTTTGATGTCTGTCTGTCTTCCTCCCTTTCAGTCTGTCTGTCTTTCCGTGGTCCTTTCAGTCTGTCTTCCTCCCTTTCAGTCTGTCTGTCTTCCTGCCTTTCAGTCTGTCTGTCTTCCTGCCTTTCAGTCTTGTTTGTCTTTCCTCCCTTTCAGTCTGTCTGTCTTCCTCCTTTTCAATTTTGTCTGTCTCCTGCCTTTCAGTCTTGTCTGTCTTCCTCCTTTCAGTCTGTCTGTCTTTTCCTGCCTTTCATCTGTTCTTCTTCCCTTTCAGTCTCTGTCTTCCTCCCTTTTCACTCTGTCTGTCTTCCTTCCCTTTTCAGTCTGTCTGTCTTTCCTACCTTTTCAGTCTGTCTGTCTTCCTGCCTTCCTTTTCCTGTCCCTACCCCCCCCTCCCTTCACCTCCGTCATTCCATCTGCAGAAAGGGTGTTGAGAGCATCACGATCTTGCAGACACGCCCAATTAACTGTAACTTCGTGTTCGGCAAAATGTTCGGCCGTCAAGCTACGCCAGGACAGAATAATCCAAAAAAAATAATCAGAAACTGAATTTTGATTATCATAATTCCATCCCCGGTAGTCATGTAGTTATTTTCTCTTTTATTTCATTAAGAAAAAATAAATAATTTCCACCGGATAATCCCAATAATAAAACCACAAAATGGCATAGACTCCATCTTATTGCACCATTAAAAAAAAAAAACGGATTTAAAATGGAATATCATATTTTTATACAAACGGGAAGAATCTTTTTTTAATCAGCGAAGATTCTACAGCGGCGGGCAACGCGTTATTAACAAGTGAGCGCGGGAAAAATGGAAATATCTGGCTGTTCCTTCCACCTTCATACCTCCCTGTTCCCCGCTTCCTCTCCGCACGCCGCCCCCCCCAATCTCTCATTCGTTCTCCTCTGCACCTCCCCCTTCCTTCCTCTTCCTCACCTTCTTCCTCTTTCCCCTCCATCTTCCTCCTTTCTCCCCTCCATCATCTTCCCCTTCTCCCTCCTCCATCATCTTCCTTTCTCTCCCCTCCATCATCCTCCTTTCTCTCCCCTCCATCATCTCCCTTTCTCTCCTCCATCATCTTCTCTCTCCCTTCTCCTGCTCCCCTCATCTTCCCCTTCCCCCCCCATCATTCCTTCTCCCCCTCCATCTTCCTGCTTTCTCCCCCGCTCTCATCATCTTCCCTTCTCCCTCCCCATCATCTTCCTTTCTCTCCCCTCCATCTTCCTGCTTTCTCCCCTCCATCATCTTCCTTTCTCCTCCATCATCTCTTTCTCTCCCCTTCCATCTTCCTGCTTCCCCCCCCCCCCCCATCATTTCCCCTTCCCCCCCTCCATCATCTTCCTTTCTCCCCCGCTCTCATCTTCCTTTCTCTCCCCTCCATCTTCCTGCTTTCTCCCCCCTCCATCATCTTCCTTTCTCTCCCCTCCATCTTCCTGCTTTCTCCCCTCCATCATCTTCCTTTCTCTCCTCCATCTTCCTGCTCTCCATCAATCTTTCCCTCTCTCCCCCATCATCTTCCTTCTCTCCATCATCTTTCCCCTTCTCCCCTCCATCCATCTTCCTTTCTCTCCCCTCCATCATTCCTTTCCTTCCTTTCCTCCCTCCTCCTTTTCTCCCCCTCTTCATCATCTTCCCCTTCTCCCTTTCCCTCCATCCATCCTTCTTTCTCTCCCCTCCATTCTCTCCTCTTTTCTCTCTCCTCCATCATCTTCCTTCTCCCCCTCCATCATCTTCCCTTCTCCTCCTCCATCCAATCCTCCTTTCTCTTCCTCCATCATCTTTCTTTCTCTCCCCTCCATCATCTTCCTTTCTCTCCTCTCCATCATCTTCCTTTCTCTCCCCTCCATCTTCCTGCTTTCTCCCCCCTCCAT